ATATGCTCGGGTCGGGTGTGCGAAGTGTGTCTGGAAGGGTGTGTCAAACACTATGCGAAGGACTCTGTGTTCGAGCCGTTCACGTGCTTCTCGTGCCACAGAGATGTCACCAAAAATCAGTTCCAAGAGTGCCAGCCATTGGCCCAAAGGTATGTCCCTTAACCTTAAAATCTCGTGTATTACTCGCACTCTAAGCACATACCGTTCCCTTTCCTCAGAGAACTGTGCGTTCCTCTAGTGTTTCGATCGGACGGCCGACTCGTATTCGGAGTCCGACTGTTACGGATATCGCAACAGATTGACGCCAATGCCCTCTACGCTCTGGTCGACCAACGGGTGCCCAACCCTGAGTTCACCTATAGGTTGGTGTTCACCGAACGCAACGGAATTGGTATGTCTTATATGGACTTTGCTGTGCCTTTACTGACCGCTAATCATATGCCTTTCCCCTCTATAATAGGGTGCTGTCGGTGCGCGTGGGCCTCGGACTGCGACGGGTGTGAAGTGTCGCGCGCGGGACTCATATTACTGTCCGAAGCGGACACACTATGCCTGGCTTTAGAGTCATCCCTATCATCGTCTCAGTCGCTGGCATTAGTACCCGTGGGACCGCTCATAGGACCGATAGTACCGGGCGTTCCCGAAGCTCTGCCTGCCCTCGAACCCCAACCGGTAGAGCACGAGTCGCTGAAGGGAATGGTAGTCGAGGAGCCGAAACCGTTGTGTCTTGAGTCGTGTTTGCGGGCGTTTGTGGGCAAAGAGTGTCTCACCTGCGATGGCGACGACAATAACCTCTGGTTTTGTCAGAAATGTGATGCATTGAGATCTGCGACCAAATCGTTGACAATCATGTCGTCGCCAAAGACACTGATTGTCTATTTGAAGCGATTCCTGTTTGTGGCCAACAATTGTCACAAACTCTCAGAGTCTGTGAGTTTCCCGATTCGGGAGCCGTTGGATATGTCGGGACTCGTGTCGGGCGCCAAACAGCCGTTACTCTATAAGCTGTCGGCACTGGTATGTCATTCCGGGACCGCACAGACCGGTCACTACACGGCTTATGTGAGGGATGAGACGAACGACAGGTGGCTCTACTTCAACGACGATGTGGTGACGTGTGAGGAACCGGCCGACAACGACAGTCGCGCCTATATCTTGTTCTATAGCCGGACAGATACCGGCGCTCTCATCGATGGCGCTCAGCCTA